CTGGGGCACTTCTAACTCCTGGAGGCCCTACTTTGTGGGGCCTTTGGGGGGGGCACTCCAGGGAAGAGGAGGATTTCTTGCCAGAAAGCAGGCAGCACAAGGCTGGAAAGAAGGGGCTATTAAGGGGCAGTTAGAGAACATTCCATAGCTCATGCTGAGGTGGGGGTGTAGGGACCTATGGTGCGGCCCAGGCCCAGCTGGGGCCGTTTCTGCAGAACTGAACCTCTGAGGGGCCGAAATGTGATGTGGCCTTGGTGTCAAGGGGATGAGGGGAGCATGCCTCACCTTCCAGGTGGCAGTGTTTCTCCGGAAATAGGCGAACATTCTGGTGAACCAGTTATAGATCTCATTCAGGGTCAGCTGCCTGTCGGGGGTTTCCAGAATGGCCTGTGGGCCAGAGAGAAGCAGAGGGACCCTCAGTCTGAGCCTTCAAGGGTCACAGGCCTGTGCTCTCTCCCTCCTGCCTGGCCCGACTCCCACCCTGAGAACAGAGGACGCCCGCTACAGAGGCTTGTGGACAGGACTGGTGGGTGTCGTCCATCGCCTGAGTGGGGCAGGCTGCTTCCGGGCTAGGAAACATGAGCTGTGAGGGCTATGCATTTGTGCAAGGAGCGCATGAATTCCTTCTGGAGGGCAACTGGTGTCAAGGGCCCCCACTCTGGAATGAAAATGAAGTAGTATTCTTGGGAGAGAGAGAGCCACAGGGTGGGGGCTGTTTACAATTTATTCTGATTTTGGCAAAGGGCTCCCTAAGCATGAGGTGGGGGGTGTGTGCATGTATGAGGGTACCTGTGAGGATGCGTGTGCCTGCTGGGGGGGTCACAGCAAGAGGACATCTGTGCAAATGTCTATTCATAAGAATATTACATGAGCATCAAGGACGTGAGTGAACAGAGGGGTGTGTGTGTGTGTGTGTGTGCGACAGAGAGAGAGAGAGAGAGAGGGTTGGTGGGGAGGGAGGGAGAGGCAGGTGGCAACCAACTGAGTGACCCTGAGTCTATCAGAAAACAGTCTTCTAGAAGCGTGTGTACATGGGAATGAGAGAATGAGCGGCACAGTGGGTGTGAGCAGCAAAAACACAAAGAGACTCCCACACAAGCGGCACAGACTCAGATGGAGTCTGGGTGAGAGGCCGTACAGCCAGGAAGAAGCCCGAGAGAGAGAGGACAGGTGCAGGAGGGGCTATCTCTCCTCTGGCCCCAGGACTCTCATGGAGGCTGAGACTCCGAGATGGGGGTTCAGCCTGGGTGCCCCCCCCATCTACTTCCATGCTCACCTGACGGATGAGGGAGGCGTAGGTGAAGGGGGGCCTGACATCGGCGTTCTTGTAGAACTCATGATTCTGAGCCAGCTCTGGGGAAGAGAGGCAGAGGGTGGGGTAGCCAGATGGGGGATCCAGCTCGAGGGGGAAATGACCCTCCTGGCAGTCCTTACCTGAGGAGATGGGGGAGCAGAACTTGTCACTGCTCCTCCGGCGGGCGGGGCCCCCGCTGTGCAGGGAGGCAGAGCTGAGGCCAGGGGGCCGTAGAGGGGTTACGGGGGCAGCAGCCGAGGTCGGGGGGTGCACGAGACCATCTGGGAACGAGTCTGCTGCGGAGACGGTCACCTTGGAGAATGAGGAGGAGCTGGGGACTGGGTTCAGCTGTGAGCAATGGGGAGGGTGCTGAGCCCAGTGCCCAGGGTGGGGGTGCCAGGGGTCCTGGGAGGGTCGCAGGGAGGGGAGAGTTACTCACGGGCTGGTTGAAGGGCTTGGGCTCGGAGGGCCGCATGTGCAGGTGGGCCATCATGGCCTGCAGCCTCTCGCTCTCCTTGGCGAGCTGTGGAGAGGGGGGAGGTGAGCCAGGGCTGAGCCCCCAAGGTGTCCAGTCCTCTTCCTCCTCCACATCCCACCTCTTCCCAACCGGACACCCGAGAAAACCCCTCTCCCACCACTCCTCTCCTTCACATGTCAGCTTCTGGCTCCCACTGTCCCCTGCTCCTAGAAGGCCTCGGCTGTGCTCCGTCCCCTGCTACCCTCGAGGCCAGGGCCTGGGGCTGCCGGCCCGATGAAGCCTCGCCACCTCTCCTCCAGCCCGTGAGTCCCAGGCTCAAGCTACAGGTCAGGGCCCCCTCGCTAACAACACATGCTCTTTCTCCTCCTCCAAGGCAGAGGCTGTGGTTGAACAACACCTAAGTTCAGTGGCACTTGTGTGTGAGAGGGGCCTCGCCACATGAATGGAAACACAGGAATGGATGAATGATTCATTCACCCCCATTCATAAATTCAATAGGTCTTCCACAGCTACCCTCTCAGGGCAGGGCGCTCTGCTAGGTGCCAGAGGGAAATGGGTAAATGTCCCTCACTCTGCCTGCTGGACTGTCCTGAGTACTACAGGGTGTAGACTCAGGGGCCAGACCGCCATGCTTCTGACCCCGACTCGGCCACTTGCTGGGGTGAGTGACCAGAGCAACAAGTCACTTCACCTCTCTGGGCCTCAGTTTTCTGTATCTCTAAAGTGGGGATGAGAATAGCAGCCATATACGGCTGTTTAGAGGATTCCCGGAGTTCTACAGGTAACGTGTTTAAGTCAGCGCCAAGTAAGGGCTCCACATGTTAGCTGTCAGCACTTTTATGGTTTTTACACAGACGTTGCTCTTCTGGGACTCCCGGCAGATACACCGCAACCCCCACCCCCCCGCCTTGGCTTGCTCCTGAGACTCTAACTACAATCACCTCATGGCCTTGGCACTTAGGAGCAAGAAAGCTTAAGATGACCCCTGTCCGCAAGGCCCTCTAAAGCCCTCCTGGGATGTCAGTGCTGAGGGTGGGACCAGGCCTGGCGTCCCCCGCCCCGCCCCACCCCGCCCCGCCTGCCACTGAGCATGCTCAGAGCTGCACCTGGATCTCCAGCTGCTGGACCACCTGCATCTGCACCCGGCACTGGGCTGTGCTCCGGTCATCCAGGGCGTGCTCTGTGTTGAGGTGTCTTTGGGGCAGGAGGGGGCAGAGAAGACACAGTTGGCCCTGCTTTGCCTGTGGCCACCACCCTCCCATCCCGTGCTCCCAGCCCGCCCACGGCCTGGAAAGCAGACAGACCAAGAGATACAAAGGGAAAGAGGTGGGAAGAAAAAAAAAAAAAAAACCAAAAACGGGGCAACAGGGCAACCAAGGAAGCCGCCTTCTCGTCAGCCTCCTTTGATGTCTTTGCTAAAATCCCAGCTACAGAGAGATCTAATTGCAAATGAACTAATTAAGTAAACCTCTGACGAAGCGTGAAAACAATTTGTTTGACCCTGATGCTGCAAGGGTCTGGGAGACAGCGGAGTTAATCAGTCAGTGACAGAGCCTGGCACGGCAGTGGCAGCTGGTTGCCTCCCGCCCTGCCTGTCCACCAGCCTTCCGGCCTGTCACTAGGCCGTCAGTCTCTTGGGCTGAGTCTGGGGGAAGCAGGGAAGGGCTACGGCGGGGGGGGGGGGGCGTCCTCTCCTGCTCCTCACACCCCTGCACTGAGGGGCTCTGAGAGCCTGGGTAGGGGGTTTACTGAGGCTGCGGGTCCCTGCAAATATAGATGGGGGGCTGGGGATCAGGAGCTGGTGGGGGCAGGGAAGGAGCTAGGCTAGGCGCAGGACAGCAGGACAGCTGGTGGCTAAGGTCCAAAGAGGGGCAAGCTAGGTGGCCGGCTTGGGGGCGGGATGAAGGGCCCTGTGGAAAGTCTGCTGTTGGGGCGGGGGGGGGGGATGGAGGGTTGCGGTGACACCTACTTGATAAACTGGCCCAGGTCTTCACACAGGGTCTCACAGCCTGGCCACTTACACTCTCCGTGTCCGTAGAGGGGATGGGAGCCTGGCGTCTCCTCGTGGGAGGAGCTAGGAGAGCAAGAGAGAGGCAGCAGTCAGGGACCCTGGAGACCCCAACGGCCCTGGGTCCAGCTCGGCCAGGCCCCCTTGCTGGTGAAGTTTCTGTCCCTTACATGGGTTTCCCAGAGGCTGAGAACAATGCTGTGTGCCCTGGGAGAGGGGTAAACTTCCGGGTCCACGAGCTCCGCCTCCCCCCTCCCTGTCCCTCACTCAGGGGTGCCATTTCTTAGGAAGCAGGGCTGCCGCCAGGCAGGTGTGCAGCGCCCTCTCCCGGCCTGGGCCCCGCACCTGTCTCTCCGAGGTGTGAGCACAGTGGGCTGTCCGTTGGGCAGGGTGTGGTGGGAGAGGGAGGGTGAGACTTTGGGGGGGGCGGCAAACGAGGTAGCGGTGGTGGCTGAGCCGGTGAGGTCCAGCCCCTCCTGCTTGACGCTGTCCTCGGCGGGCTGCCCGGGGGCACCCTCGCCCTTCCACAGCTGGGGCAGGTCCGTCGGGCACACGGCTGCTGCGGGAGAGAGAGGTGGGAGGCTGGCAGGGCCCCAGGCGCCCATGGAATGGGGTGGGTGGGGAGGTCTGGGCTGGGGGGCACTCACCTTGCGGGAGGGTCTGGAGGGGCCCTGAGGCTTGGCCGGGCTGCAAGCTGACCAGCCCCTGTCTCTGCAGGTTGAGCAGATGCTGCTGCTGCAACTGTTGCATTTGCAGGAGCTGCTGCTGGAAGGCCAGCTGCTTGTTCCCCAGGGCCTGGTGGGGGGCCCGAGGGGGCGGGCCGAGAGGGGTACCATCAGCCTCGGGCACGCCCTCCGGCCCCCACCCCGCGGCCACCCCCTCCCAGGGCCTCTCAGCCCCTGGAGCTGTCGTAGTGGCGTCCGCCGCTGCAGCCTCTCTGCTCCCGGCCCAGCTTCCATAGGGCTGCATGCCTCCTCGCAGTAAACACACGCACGCACGCACCACGCACGCACGCGCGCAAACACACACAGCAGACCCAGACGCTCAGCACGACGCCCTCCCTGCTCCCGCCCCCCTCCTTCCGCCTCGGCTCCCCGCACCGCAGCTGTGCTCGCCTGGAAGCGGGCGGGGAGCCTCTCATCACAATGATCGATGAGCTTGTCAGGCTTCGGGGGCCACTCCCGCCTGGCGGGCACCCTTCCCACATGCGCGGGTGCCCCCCTCCTGCGCCGAGGAGGAGGCCTACCCCCTCCAGCTCCTCTCTCTTGCTTCTTAGATACAGGGAATCAAAGAGTCTGACGGGACTTTAAAAGATCCGCATCAGCTGGTCATCGGGACACAGGCCTGGGGAAGAGTCGCATCTCTACTGCTCAGGCGCACACTTGCTCGCTTGCTCACTGTAGGTCTGGAGCTCGATCTCTCCCTCTCTGTCTCCTGCCAGCGCCCCCCCCCCACCCCAGCCTCCCAGCCAGTCAGTTCTTCATGCAGGCACCAACAAGTCAGTCCATCAGCAGGTCTTTGCTGAGCCCCAGGAGCCAAACTTGTGCTGGGTGCTCGGGAGGCAGGGACGTCTCTGCCTGGCCCCCTGCCCTGGTTGTGCAGTGGGGGGGCTAGCTATTCAGTAAAGCCAGCCTAGAGAAAATGCAGGGAAGGCAACAAGGATGAGACCTTGAGGGGGAGGCTGAGGGCATTGGGAAATGACTGGGAGTCAGCAGGGCAGCCTTCTGGGAAGAAGCCACCCAGGACTTGGCTGTGGTTAGGCCAGCAGGAGGGAGGCACATGTCTGGGACATGGAGGGGGAGCCCCAGGGGCCTGGTATGGAAGCTCAGGGGGCACTGTGGCTCAGGCGAGGCGGGGGAATTCTCTGGAGGGGAAGGGCCTGATATTACAAGAAGTGGCAGAGGTTGGGGCAGGGCTGGGGGGAGCAGCGCAAGGGGTTTACTGAGGGACCAGAACCCGGGAGAGGGGGAGGGTGTGTGGTGGGCTGAGGTGCTAAGTCACTAAGAGACAAGTGGGTAGGAAAGGACGTGACAACAAGGCAGCTGGTCATGAGCAAGGGACACTCACTAATCCGACAACATGAGGCAAGGACGGAGTGGGGACGTGGACAGCTAGAGAACTATGCACCCCCAGTTCCCATTCCCCCCTGCCCCATAATTCCCTCCCGGTGCTTCCTGATCTGTCTCCTATGCCCGCAAGGCAGTTCTATCCTGGCCACTGTGGGGCTCCCAGCTTCTGGCCAGGAGGGGCCCGGGGCAGTGGTCCTTTGAGGGGGCACGTTAGGCCCCTTACCTCTTTGGGTTGCTGCTTCCCAGCCTGCTGTTGGGTGAGAAGCTGTAAGTGAAGCTGTTCTTGCTGCTTCTTGTAGTACTCCTGCAGCTGGGTGGGAGGTGGAGGGGGGCAGGGGTGCGAGTGGGTTACCACGGGCCGGGGACTGCGGACCCCAGAACAGCCCTGGCCCTGTTGTGACGGGGCTCCTGGAGGCAGAAGTAGGGAGTCTCACTGGGGTGGTGAAAGAGACACCCTGTGGGGAGATGCCCGCTCTCCTCAGTCTGCTCTGAGGGTCCCCAGCAGGGCCTGGGTGGGGAGGGAGCGGAGCAGGGACGGGGGTCGGGGGGGGCCTCACCCCACAGCTGTGAGCCCCCCCTGCCTCTTTGTGGGTCTCCTGAATCCATCACAGCGAGGTGCCGGGATGTTCCAGTACTCTGCCCTTCCCTGGGGTTCTAGGTAGAGGTGGGCGGGTGAGACGGGGAGCATGGGGGTGCCTGACCCCTGACCTCTCCCCAGCTTCCCTGGAGGAATGCAGATCCATCCAGCCTGAGCGGTCTCTCTGGTTTTTTCCCCGGCTTTGGCCAGCAGTGATGTTGGCAGTAAACAGGGTGCGAGATGGGAGGCTGTAGAGCCTCCACCACCCCACCCTCCTCTCTCCCACCTCCCAGCTGCCCTGGGGCCAGACTCACCTGCTGCAGCATGAGTGCCTGTTGCTGCTGGAGCAAGGCCTGCAGCTGTGGGGGCGACAGGATCTGCTGCATCTGTTGGGGGGTAAGCATCTGCGGCGACATCATGGCCACCGACACAGGCACCTGTGGGATTGGGCCCCATTAGCCTGCTCCTCTCACTCCCACCCACAGTGTGGCCATGAGGACTGGAGGGAGACCGCTGGGTTCAAATTCTGGCTCTGCCACCTACGGTCTGTGTCTTTGGACAAGTGATTTACCTCCCTGTTCTCCATTCCCTTGTCTCTGAAGGGCAAGTAAAAACAGCGCCCACTTCTTAAGGCTCTCATGAAGATTAGTGAGCTGAAATTTCAAACAGAACCCGGCACACAGCAGGTGCCCGGGAAGCGGGGGGCTGTTATCGCAGGAGGCACTATGTCCAGTGACACCAGTCGTAGAAACCATATCCATGCTTGGCAGGCTTTCTCCCTTAGGGATGGGGATGGGCAACACCTAGCCATTCCCAGTTCTAGCTCGGTATATGTTCAGAGAGCGTGATGTCCACGGTGGGCCTGGCCGGAGAGCAGTCTGCGGTCCCCACCGCATGAGGACCTGGATTCTGGTTCCGATCGCACACACATCACATACCCTGGCATGGCCATCGGCAGGGCACACACATAGCCAGAGCTGACCCAGGGAGGGCCTGCCACAGCGTACGTAGGTGTTGTCAAGTCAAAGTGGGCTGGAAAGAATACCAAGCAGGAAGCCGGGACGTGGGCTGCTACTTCTAGCTCTGGGAGGAATTTGCTGTGTGCCCTCCAGGCAAGTCACTTGCAGCTACTTCTGGGGTGTTAGTTTCCTCAAACGCTAAACCGGGAACTAAACCAGTGGAGATGACGCCTTCCGGCAGGAACAGGCAGGATTCTCAGAGTGGAGGAGCTCTCCATGCCCTGCCCTGGCTTAGGCCTCTGGAGGAGGCTCAGAGAACCTAGCTACCAGCTAACAGGTTCCTGGAAAAGCACTAACATCATTGTTTTCTCCGCCCCACCTTCCTGAAATCCCCGGGCTTTGGGGTAGTCATCACCAGGGAGGCCCAAGTGGCAAGGCTGTCTTGTCCCACTGTTCTGGCAGGACGGGTGCCCTGATGGGGCTCAGAGCCCAGCTGGTCTCCTCTCCCCTCCTGCTGCCAAGCTCTCAAAGCACCCAGTCCCTACCCCCAACCATTTCCCACACACAGCAGGCACTCACTGAGCGTTTACTCCCCTGAACTGAAAAACCTACCCCAGCAGCTCAGAGGCCCCTTTGGCAGCCCAAGGGTGGGGAGGGAGGGGTCCCAGCGGCCCAGGCAGGGAGTATCCTGCTGGACTTGTCTGGGCAGGATGTGACAGGTTATATCCTCAAGGGACTGGTGACCCCTGTCACCTCCCCCCACCCCAGCCTCATGGGTAGGGCAGGGGAGGAGGCACTGGTGGAGGGGGAGGGGGAGGGGGGAGAAGGACTCAGCCTCAAACCACCAATTAGGGAATCCCCAGGAAGTGGAGTGGCACAGGAGGTGTAGTGGGTGAAGGGACATGGGGGAAGTCCCAGGGCTCCCAATTCTTCTTACACCTCACCCCAATAACTTGTGGCTGAGCCCCAGCCCTGGGCTCTTCTCCCTTATCTCAGCCATCTCTGTGCCTACAGCCCGGGCAGGGACACACCCTGGCTCTTTATCGGGGAATGCTGTGTGTGAAGGAAGGCCCCCGGGGCCTCTACAGAGGAGCCTTAAGTAGCAGGGTTGGGATTCAAGCCCGGGTCTGTGAACTCCATGGCTCCTGGTGTTTCCCCGTGTCCACACTGCTTTCCCTACCTCGGAGCAGATATTGAGGAAGGTTAGGAAGTGTGGGTGGAAACTGAATTATCCAGGGAGTGGAGGGGTCGAGGAGGCTGGAGAGCCAAAGGCTAACTTCCCTTTTTACAACTGTACCTGGAGGAGATCCTAGAAAGCCAGGCCGTGGGGGGTCTTCTGGTCCTCACTCTTGGAGGGGCCTGAGTGAGGGGGCAGACAGTGGCACAGACCCACACCCTTTGCGGAGGCAGCCTGTGTACCTTGCTGGGTGCCCTTGAGGCTGGGAGGCCGCTCAGCCGTCCTTTTCTTTTCTCCTCCTTCGGGGGTGCCCACCATGGTGGCAGGGAGCTCAGAGTCCTGGATTTCTGAGTCAGGTGACCTAGGCTCTTGTTCCTGAGGCTAACTATTCTTTGAAATCACCTCACCTCACGTTTTCCACCCAGACCGCTAATTGTTAATTAGGTGCCTTTAGGCACTCTGCTAAATCTTCACAGCAAATGGGGGGGGGGGTAGGGTGTCTAATCATCATTACCATTTTACAGATGAGAAAACTGAGACCTAGAGAACTTAAATAACCTGACCTGTCCCCAAAGGGACAGTGGGAATAGGGGCAAGTGAAAGTAATTTGTAGCCCATTAAATTCTATGCAAATGTAGAGAAAACTACTTTGTAAAACATTTGGGTTTTCCTCTTCTCCTCCTTTCACTCTCCTTTCTCCATGACTTCTCCAACCCCAGAAGGCACCGCATGGCCAGGGCCTGACCTTCTCATCCTGGGAGGACTGAACTGGAGATGGACATGGCCCAGGCAGGGAGACAGCCCAGACACCATAGGGCTGTGAGTCACGGTGGCATACAAGAAAGGATGTGGCATTTCCTTCCTTGGGGCTTTCCTACTTGGACGCAGGGGAATGGAAGAGATGACCTTGGAAGGCCTCCCCAGCCCCCGCCGTCCCTGCCAATTGGCCGAACAGCTGGCCGCACAGCTGGCCGGAGAAGCGGCTGTGGAGATGCCTGGATTGCCTTGTGTGTACTAGTCTGCCGGGGCCCAAGGGTCAAGAGAGGTCAGGGAGGGGGGCTGCCGAGTGCTTGCTGAGCTCCTGGGCTGGCTGACACCATCCCTCCACACCCCTCAGGGTTCTGAGGACAGAGCTGGAGCTCCCCTGGTGTCCCCGCTGACCCCTCGCTAGGCTGGGATGGGTCAGGATAGACACTGTCAGCTTGTCAGCTCAGCAAGGCCCATGAGTCACTGTCTGGAGAGTGGCCAGGGTGGCTAAATGCTTACTAAAGGCCTGGCAGTGTGAGCCGCGGGCTAAATGCCCACAGCTGCCTCCAGCCCCTCCCGCAGGGCCACGGCCCAGGCCCCTGGGTCCTCTCCACCCACGGTATGTACAGTGTGCTGGGCTGGCTGGCGGCTTACAGAGAGGATGCTTGTCCGTGGGGAGGCTGAGCACCCCACGGATGCAATTTGGTGTTAGAATCAAGGACCCAAACTCAACCCCTGAAGTGTGGTCTAGGGTCACTGGCGCAAGTGGGGACACCAGGCCGAAGCTTGGTTTAGGTTAAACTCCCTTGCAGATGACCAGAAGGAAGTCCTCAGACTAGTTCTGGGCTGGGGCTGCAGCAAGAAAGAAGCTGTGGGGCACCAAAATGAATTTCCAGAAATTCTGGAAGGGTCAGCCCCAGGGGCAATGATAAGCTGCATGGAGGCTGGGCAGAGCTAAGGGGCCTGGCCCTAGCCGCCATCTCCTCTGCACCCCAAAACTCCCAGCTAACTTTGCTGCCTTCTGTAACTGACTTCTCCCTCCCTAGGGCCCAGGCCTGGGCACAAACTAGGCCATCTCCAGGCTGGAGCTGGAGACTAACATGGTTCTAGAAACTTCAGAAGCTAGCTCCAGGAGAGGGGAGGTGAGGCAGCCAATCCTGCCTCGCCCTGGGGAGCAGAGCATTGTCATGTGGGGGCCACCGGAAACAGGTGGCCATCTATCTTTTTTCATTAACCACTTCACTCACAGAGAAGTTATTTGAAGGCCCTGGGCCCCACTCAGGGACAGAAGCTTCACCTCCTTAGAAACTGTGAACTTAAGGGTGAGAATGAGAGGCAAGGAAGGTATTCAGGTTGGAAGAGGGTCCACAGCTGGATCTCCAGGCTCCTGGGGAATTTCAGACATGGCCCATGAACCCCATCTCCCTGAACCCAGAGACTCATCTGGCTGGGACTCTGCACCTGGGGACTGCTGGCATTCACTGCTGTGCTGAGCACACATGACATCACAGCGCAGACATTCAAGTCTAAATTCTGGGACCAGATGTTTGGGGTCATATCCCGGCTCTGTCCCTTATTAGCTGTGTGACTCTGGACAAGTGACTCAACCTATCTGGGCCAAGGTCTCCTTATCTGCTCATAACAGCATCTCTAGACCCCACAGGATTGTGAGGATAAAGGGAGACAAATGACACATGTAAAGCACTTAGTGTCTGCTCCATGGTCAGCAGTCTTTAAATGCTGTTAGTTTCATTAGTCCTGAGCAAGTATTTGACGAATGGATGAATCAGTCAATGATTTGGAGGAGGAGGCAAGGAGAGAGGAGGCCTGAGAAAAGGATCATTTATTTGCTCTCTCTGACCAAACCTCCACCTCTTACTCTAAGCCATTCCAGGGCTGCTCTTGTGTTGGGGAAGGGGCTCTTCTGAGGCAGATTCCATTAGCCTCCCTTTCCCTCTCAATTATCTCAGATCTCCTATCCCTCATAGGCAGCCGTAAAGTCCTTTTTTTAAAAAAAATTTATTTATTTATTTGACAGAGAGACACAGCGAGAGAGGAAACACAAACAGGGGAGTAGGAGAAGGAAAAGCAGGCTCCCTGCTGAGCAGGGAGCACGATGCGATGCGGGGCTCGATCCCAGGACCTTGAGATCCTGACCTGAGCCAAAGGCAGATGCTCAACAACTGAGCCACCTAGGTGCCCCTGTAATAAAGTACTTCTTGATGCCTGACCTCAGTCCCTCCAACTACCATCAAGCTCCTTCCCTCCTGCCTTGGGTCAGCAGGCCCTCTCTGGCTAGGGGAACATTCCTGTTACCCCAGCCCACCCCTCCCTGTTCTTAGAAGAGAGTGTGAGGCCCGGCCCAGGGTGAGGACGACTCAGAGCAGTAACCATTTCAGACCCGGGAAATATGTGTGTGTGTTGGGGGTGGGGGGCATTGGGAGATCCCTAATTCAAAGGGGCCCAGTCCTGACACGATATGGGTATGAGAACCTTCTATAACATTCTGGTGTGAGAACTTTCTCTTCTTCCCATTATTTACCTTCCAGATCTGTTCTCACCTCCCCACCCAGACCACCACCTATCCTGGCCCAACTCCTCCCTCTTGAGGGCTGTCTCATTAGGTTCAAGACTTCAAAAAGAGGACCACTGCTCAGGCCCCACACCTGTCGGCCACCTTGAACTTGTTCAAACCATTTTCCAAACGTAAGCTTGTATGACATAAGACTCAGATACTCCTCAGAGCCCTGGAATCCCCATCCTGGGACAAAACCTTGTCCTGGGTCCTTCTCCTCCCTGCTGTCCTCACTTCCCTCCTTCCTTCCCCACCCCACCCCCACAAACTCCAGAGCTCATAGCTCAGGGTCGCACTTACCCTTCCTCCCCTAGATAAACTTCCTTTCAAAGCCCGGCTTAATCCTCTCCCCAATTCCGAGCCTCCCCTGCTGCTGTGGGGAAAGGGGGGTGGTGGAGGAGCAAGAAAGCAAGGCTGCAGGGCCCAGGGGGAGGGCAACTGGCTGCCCGAATCGTGACCCACCCAACTCAGACCGCAATTCTCCCAAGTTCTTTGTGACACAAAAGGTAAACAGAAGGCCGGCTTCCCCCCACCCCCCCACCTCCCACAGACATCCCCTCCCCCAGTCAGCCAGATGGGCCGGCAAGCTGGGGGAAGGGAAAGGGGGAAAAAAGGGCAGATTGTGCAAAGGAAAACAAAAGAGACAGAGAGACACCGAGAGACAGGAAACGGGGAGAGAGAGAGCTGGTGGGTGAGAGATGGAGAGGAGGCACGTGGTGACCTCAGCAGCTAAGAGAGCCAGGGAGAGAGGGACAGGCCAAGTGACCCACGGGGATGGAGAAACAGAAGCCTGAGAAGGGACGGGGACCCAGAGGGTAGAGCCAGGGAAAGGAAGCAAGCAGGAGGTACCCGGAGAAGGTAAGAGCTGACTGCAGACACAAACTCCGAGCCACACACACAAAGACACGGAGCAGAGCAAGGCCTGGGCCATAGGGTGGAGACAAGAGAAAGTTAAGTTTCTTCACCCCACCCCTGCACTGACTGCATTTGCTTCTGGAAAGTTGCCTACTTTGTGGCACTGGGGACTGGCCAGAGCCATCCTCCAGCTGGTCCTGCCCATCCCTCGGGGGCCAATTTACCCTCTCCACCCGCCTCCCCTGCCCTCCTCCTCACCTGCACAGAAGAGGCCGACTGCTTGCTGTCATTGTTGCCAGGGGAACTCAGGCCCGAGGCCTGCTGCAGCAGGAACTGCCTGGCCACCTGGAGAGCCTGCAAGAGAGGGGACAGTCGGCTGTCAGGACAGGGCCTACCTGCTCCTACAAAGGCCTGAAGGGCCTGGAGGGGGCAGTGCGGGAGCGGAAGGTTCAGGGAGAATCGGGGCAGTAAGGGGGAGGAAGCCAGGCTAAGGTGGAAGGTTCTGGGGGTGGTGAGAGGGTCACAGGGGCACTTGGACTTGCCCTTAAGCCTATAGGTAGGAGTCCCTGAGAGGAGCTGCCAGGGTATGGGGATCAGAGCTTATACGGGCCTCACTCTGGGACCTGAGAGGTTTTTTTGGGCCTCAATGGGGGCAGCAAACAGAAGGGACAGTGGCCACAAAAGGATCCCAGGGGAAAGCACAACAGAGGGACTCCAGGTACTAATACTGGGTACTACTTGCTGAGCCTCTACTCCGTGTCAGGCCCTTTACATGCAAGATCTCACTGAATCCTTCCTATGAGGCTGTGAGGTAGGGATTATCAGTTCCATTCTACAGCTAAAGAAACAAAGTCTCCAGGAGGTGAATAATCTGCCCAGGATCCCAGAGCAAGGATCTGCGCTCAGGAAGCCTCAGCCAGGTGGCCAGTCTGGACTGGAAGGAAGTAGCACTCACTTGGGGTCACTGCACCCAGCTGAGGGGGATCAGGGCGGAGTCTCAGGTTCTGAGCATGGTGTGACCTTCTGAGTCCAGCGATCTGGGTGCAGGGCCTGGTGGTATGGGGGAATTTGGTCAAGTCCTCAAGGGTGTGTCTGAACTTCCATTGAGTAGCTCTGACCTCAATGTGGTGGTCTGGGCTCAGAGGCCCCCGTGGCTTGGACTGGACTGGGAGTTGGCAGGGTCATAGCAGTGGGAAATGCATGGACTTTGCAGAGGGAGCAGCTCTGGCCCATCCCTGAGCCTGGAAGGTGAGCAGTGAGAGGTCTGGTGGGAGGGTGGGAGGCTCAGGGAGGGAGGCCCAGGAAGTTCTCTGTAAGGATGGTCAAGCCCTCCATCGCCCCACTCTGGATCAGTGCGGGGTTCAGAGGCAGGGAACATGGGGACCTGTCCTGAATCCACATTCCAGGAGTACAACACCTGTCTTCCCTCATGCTCCCCAGACAGTTGTGTCCAGGCCTCTGACAGGGACTCTGGCATCAGACAGGCCTGGGTTTGAATCCCAGCTGTGGCACTGCCCAGCAGTATGACTGGTGTGGGCACGTTACACTGTCTTTGTGCTTCAGTCTTTTGCAAACCCAGGATACCATCCATCTCTGAAACTCCGGGGGGACAAAAGGACCCAAGCTGGGCACCAAGGCGGTCTCGTGAAGGGTCCGTTCCCTTCCCTTCTCAGGAATGTGGGTTGTCCCCCTCAGCTCAGTGAGCCAGCAGCCAGCATGGCCTCCTGCCCAGCATGCCTGCATAACGACACTGGCTCACTGCGGCCCCTCACCTCTGTCCACGCACACATACTTGTGTTTGTCCTCATGTGGACTTCTGCTCTCTGACCCCGTCATGTGCACCAACAGGGCAAAACCTTATGTGACACACTCATACACACTCACTGCCCGGCAAACGCTCCCGAGTACTCACTGCATGTTCACACATGCCCTTCGAAGCCCCTTCCTTACGGCCACTGAACAGCTGAGCCGCCCCCAGCCTTGAACCTAGCTTCTCTTAGCACGGTCTCTAAACACTCACTGGTGTATCTGTGGGCGAGTGGCCCCCAGCATAGCTGGAGCTCATATGAGTGCGCGCCTCACCAGCCCCCCCTCCCCATCCCAGGCCTTCCCCAGCCCCTCTCTTCCCCTGGACAAGTGGCCTGGGGTTTCTTTGGCACGATTCACTTCAGAAAGTAGAACTCTGACCTCTTGGAGTCAAAAGGCTCTGAGAGTTATGGAAAGGGGGTGGGGGGGGGCGGTGCAGGAAGGAAGGGAGGTGGCCACGTGGTCATTGGGAAGGAGCCCGGCCTCTTGGTGCCTGAGTGATCCCCTCCAGGTCTATGAGTCAGACACATGCTCTCTGTCAAAAAGGTGGAGGTGGGGTAGAGAGGTAGGGGGCCAGAGGTCAGGGGGCGAGTTGGAGGAAGAGAAAGCCTTGGAGAAGCCGGCTGGCCTAGGTGACCCAGAGGGGAAACACAGGGGAGGGGTTTCCAGAGGAAGTTGGGGGGTGGCCCGGGGAGCTGGGTTCACTCCCCACAGACTCTCTTACTTTGTGGTCCCCTGGAGCACGAAATTACAAGATTTACAGGAAACAACGACAGGCCTTATAGTCTTCATCTGCGATGGACCCTTCACGCACCCTCCTGCCCTCCTCCCACTCCGGGCCTTTCCTCCCCTGCAGGCCAAGAGACAGTTGCCCAGCCAAGGCTGGACCCTCCTGGGATTGCCTCCACTCACATCCTCCTTCACGTTACTGGGCCACTGCTGTACTTGAGGGGCTGTGCTGGGTGCCAAGACACAGACACACAGAACCTGGCCTGCCCTAGGACTTACAGCTGTGGAGCTGCAAGGACAGTCGCCCATCAGAGCCGGGGTGGAGGTGAGCACCGGGCCCTAGAGCCCAGAGAAGGTGGCGGCACTTGCTGCCCCTGACCGGAGTTCTGAGGGGCGAGGTCCTCAGCTGGAACGGGAGGTTGAAGTGTGTTCCTGGCACAGTGACCCCCACTGTGCAGAGGAATGAAATCGCCCAGCAAGTCCAGGAACCCTGAAACCATTCCCGGGCAGCAGGAGAGGGTGGAGGAGTCCCAGGACCCTGTGGGCACTTCATTCATTCCTTCATTCCTTCATTCCTTCACTTACTCACATGCATGACTGCCCACCATGCACAGGCCCTATGCTTAGAGGCGACAGAGAGGTGATGGTGGATAACCCAAGGTCATTTCGTGTCATTTGCTTAGTGCTCAGCCCTGACCCAATTTAGAATGGTTTGGGTACCACTGAAAAATCACACCATGGGTGCCCAGGGCAAGGGTAATGGGCAGACCCTGGACCTGAGGTCCAAGATCCCTTCTCCAGATGGCCTGGACAGGACCCTGTCCACTTGACGTACTCCAGTGCTGCTCCATGCCCCATGCCACACCACTGTCCATGGCTGGGGACAGCACTCTGGGAGTGAGAGGGTCCCTCTGGTCCAGGATGCCCTTCTCCAGGGCGGTCACCCAAGGGAGCAGGTAGGCTGGAGACTTCCTGAAGCCCCACCGAAGTCCCATCCAGCACTCCCAACACGCCAGGCCTCATCTACGCTAGCTGCTGGTCCTGGGGCCTGATTATATAGCCAGGCTGCCCGCTGCTGAGAGACGTAGGGGAGGACGGCCCCTACCGCAGCA